TGTCACGCGTGACCAAGAAAGAGGAGAAAAAAAGCAGTACCTTTCAAACAGTATCATAGACGGTGCTGCCTCCTAGAAGTATACAAAAAGTGCAGTTGAGTGAGGATATTCTCTTTGGCGCTGTATCGCTATTCTCCGATTGGCTGCTGCGCGGGCTATGTCTGTCTAGATACGCGGACAACCAGTGCCTCTCTGTCTCCTGGATAGTCGCCGTTCGTGGCGGATTGTTGGTGGGACATAAACGAGCAGAGCGGCGGGCACGTTAAAGACGCTTGCACTCGGCTTCCTTGGCTCACGCCTCGTCGGTGTTACCCGGGCGCCGTCTGCATTCTCGAGCGCGATCGGACGCATGGCCGCATGCACGAATGGACGGGCTCTTCGCCTCACATATCATCATTCACTTTTAGAATAAGCTGTGATTTTTCATGCCTCTTTTACATTCATTTCATCGTGTAAAACGCTAGGCAAGAAGCCCATAGCCCAGCGCTGGTGGAGGCAAGCCGGGGGCAGAAAAAGCAGAGTGCCGGTGGCTTGTGGCGCGATGCGTTAGAACATTCCTACGCTTCAGTCTGGCTGGGCGCCACGGTCACTGCTTCTTTGGGCATCTCGCTTCTGTCCTTCATCAATTGTACGCCTTCGCCATTTCATTACACCAGTGACGCCGGCACGTTTGCGTCCAACGCCGGCCTTCGCTACAGAATATTTTAATTAGTTGGATTTCCTGAGCTTTCGCAGTACAGCACCATCATTATCTAATGAGAGCCAACACAGAGACAGCAGCACCGTTCCTGAGTTGCAAATTTATCTGCGTGGTGTTGTCCTGGACACATTTGACACCGGACTACTGATCTATATGCTACAATACATTACAACACTATATGCTACAAACAAAACGCCAGCATTTATGGCACTGCACCGGACGAGCAGATAGCGCTTCGACCCGATATATCCGCCCCATATATCAGCGCTCACGCTTTGATTTCTCTTGGTCTAGTAGTACTAGCAAAGATAGCTACCACTGAATCTGTCGGGATATTTCTACTGTTGACAAGGGCACAAATCCACCGAGACTGTCCATATGACAGATATCACAATAAAATAAAAGGGCACTGCAGTAGGTCTTAAGGCATGTACTTTTACAGTTAATCAGCTATCACGATCTGTCTTATTTAGAGCTGATGAAGGTTTCCACATGTCAAGTTCTCAAAATATATTAAAGACGTCCAGCCTGAGTTCAATGAAAACCGTGATCACCAAAGCTAAAAGCATTTGCAGGCAAAACGGGTACAAAGTTTCACTGCTGAACTTTCAAGCCAGTTGCTTGCACCATATTGGTGTAAGATTTTGGGCTGCTCATGTACTTTCACGTATTTTCTGCGTCAGCCCTACCAGCCTGTCCTTGCGGCCTATGTGTTATTCCAGTTATGGTATGTAGATTCTAGCATTTATAAGGTCACGGACCGAAACAAAACGACTATTTCATTAATGTTTGTTTTCAAGTGTCGTTCCTCGACATTTATTGCCTGTCCCTGAAGCCGTCGCTCTCAACTTCAAGCTATTTTGATTACTAAGCGAGTTGGGCATGTCAGAGTATTGTCCGCGGTACAGCTGGCAATGATATCATGGCATAGACGTGTAAGCTGTCACAACTATCCCAAGTTGACTGATTGAATTTTTCTCTGCTGAACAATTGCAGTGGAGTCATGATGTTTTCTTCATTTTATAAGGAAAGTGTAGCGGTCACTTTCACGTGGAGGTTTAATTGAATTTTACTCAATATCCATCAAGCAAAACTAATATGAGGTCAATGGAAGGCATGTTTATTGTTTGCGCTGGCGTTCATTGGCTTTTTAAACGTAAACTGCACTTGAAAGTTTTTGAAACAGCAAGCGTTTTAGTACAGGAGCTCGCACGTTACAGCAAGCCTCTTGGAAGAGCGTTACGCGTGTTAAAATTTCTGACTACTACACACTGGGATCGCAAGAAATGTGTCATTAAAAAGCTGAGTAGTGAAAACCTAAAAGCGTTGGAGCTTTGATGTTAATATCATCGTTAGTAGCCTATCACTATGGAGCAAAGGAAACATAGCCTGTGTTTTCTGTTTTTAATTTCCCGTTTTTTCATGCTGTTTTCAATATTAGTAGTTAAAAATTATGTAAACTGTTACGATTGCATGTACGGGCAGTATCCCCGTGATCATTTCTGAATAGCGTCGGGACATCGTTATGCTCTTAAACGTTCAGTCCTGTACTCCTTTCACCAAAATAAAGTCATATAATTGACTGAATAACTGAGTAAGTGATTAACTTTTTCATTATTTTAGGTGTGAAATCTTTTGTGTACCTTCGCGTTGATTGTCTGCCGTGAACGCAGTAGCTTTTTTGGGTGACATTGATGGTTATTTCACATACATATCAACGTGTGGTGAGTTCTTCATTAGGGGGCAGTATCGTTCAAAGCAGCTCCTCATCCTTGTTTGAGTCAGAAAGAAAAAGAGCTCAGTAAACTTGATCCGCCTTTCCGAAAGTAAAAAGGAAGACCGACCAATAGTTTAATTGAAGATGATATCAAAGGTCCTTGCCCCTTTCCCCAACAAACAAGATATGTGGGTTTTTTTAAAGATGTGGATGAAAAATCCGGAATTAGACTGAACTTCAGGGGAGCGTGGAATTATCTAAAACAGATAGAATAAACAATTCATTGCGTTCCTTCTTGAATTTCTGAACTTTTTTGAAAATTTTAGACATAAGGCTTTGTTTTTGCGGATCTCATCGAAAAAAGATATACAGCCCTCTATTCAAGCGACTGTCTGCCGTACTTCACTGTTTTTCTGTTTACTGTAGCAATAACAGGCTTGCCATCTCAAGGCTCTAACCATGCAGCAAATTCTCTAGAATGTGTGTAGAAATCTTAAATGCGAAGCATTTCTTAGCAAACTTCGGCGACTTTGGGCGTATCTATCTATCTATCTATCTATTTATCTATCTATTTATCTATCTATCTTGCTATCTATCTATCCGCTTACGTTTGCGTGCTCTCGTGGTCACCCCCTTAATTTCGCATGAGCCAAAATTAGCATGGGAGGGTAATATGCATTGACGAATATGACGCACTAGAGAAGACATAAATAATGCCTCATTCCCGTCGCGTACATCTTCAAACACTTCCCGTCAGACAGTCAGCACATAAGCACAGATGAATATGTGCCACATGTGATTTACACTAAGTATCTACAAACGAACGACGAAAAAACACATCGGCAACTTTAACTCACTAGCGCTAAGAAATACTCGTCATCTGTAGCGTCAACCCGACGAATACAAAAATTAATGTCAGGGTCCCTGCTCAAATTAAACTCACGCATTCTGCGTGGCAATGAAGCATTTTACCACAGGGCTACGCGAGGTCTCGGAACTATTTTTTAAATAGAAGCTAATCTTCAAGAAACATGAATAGTGGTATCAGTGCTGCCTACATAATTTTACAAACAATACATATATACTCTTTGATACAGCCGTCACGCCGGCTTAACGTCAATTCTGGTTAGTTGCCATGTGCTTGAGTTAGTTTATGTCGCAGTGTCGAAGGCCAGCATCCTCGCGAGCATCGGCGCTTCATATCAGCTTATGGTGTTGCTAATAGGAATGTTCCTGCTGGCATCATTGCGCAAGTTCAAACAGCTAAGTAAATAAACATCTGCAACTCCCCAACATATTTATTCTAAGCGTGAATCTTTTGTACATATATTTAGCCTCATTTTATGACGCTTCACTAAAAAAAAACTGCAACATGGTCACCCTCACTCCGCATGCTTCGCAAAACGCCGATTCGCAGGTACGTGGGATTTGTCGAATTTTTTTTTCAATAAAATTTTTTGCTCAGCCTTCAGTCCCCTTCCATCGGTGGAATGAATATCTACAACACTGAATGGTGGAGGCGATGACAGTTGTACTGCCGATGAAAGCGGGAAACTGAAACCTCGTGCGGTTTTTGCAGGCTTCATCAACTTTTGTTTATTATTAAACAATTAAAATTGTGGTCGTTTAGGGCACACACACACACACACTTTTTTTGTCATTTTGAGTGGAGGCAGGATGCCGTGCTCATGTTTCTTCGCTGTTTGCAGGCAGCCATGCAGGCATGTGAGCACACCACTGGCAGCGTAACCAGGCGCCTCTTTGAACGCATGAGAAAAAAAAACGAAACAATAGTCTCTGGCGCAGCCTAAAGCTGCCTCAAGTGCGTCCAATACTATTTCAAAATGTACATGTTTGTTTTAAGCAAAATAAGTTTACCTGCGAGGATACGCTGTCGTATAGCAGTAGATTTGGTCTAGTGGCTAAGGTACTTGACTGCTAACCCACAGGTCGCTGGATCGAATCCCGGCTGCGGCGGCTGCATTTCCGATGGAGGCGGAAATGTTGTATGCCTATGTGCTGAGATTTGGGTGCACGCTTAAGAACCCCAGGTGGTCGATATTTCCGGAGCGCTCCACTACGGCGTCTCTCATAATAATATGGTGGTTTTGGGACGTTAAACCCCACAGATCAAACCAAATCATTTAGCAGTAGATTGACCATATCGCTATTCAGTGCCGCTAGCAGGCCTGCTTTGTCGACTTTCAACATCAAGTTAAAGGTATAATTCCTATTTTATAGGACAAAAGCATGCTCGTTTCCGCCGATGTGATAAACGATCTTCTCATTTGTGCCACGATCAGGAAAGTTTTTTCGAGCAGTAGACAATCTTTTTACGGTGTTATATGGTTAGCGTTTTGGACAATAAGTGCGTGTCAGTAAAAACTCGGTGTTTCTAAGCGTCTTCCTTTTCCCCTGTTATTTGCCTCGCGTAGCCGTTTTACTGAACACCTCAAAGTTACCATATGCCTTTTCGCTTGTGCGTTAAGCTGTTTTAGCACTTTTACACGTGCAAAGAAAGCAAGGCAGATTACTGCTTGCATTGCACCACGCTTCATTTTTCGTTTAATGTTTTCTGTGTAGGATAACATGCAGGGCGACGACATCGTGATCTCCGGTTTTTCCGCCTATTTCCCTCAAGCGGATCACCTGGTCGAGTTCAAGCAGAAGCTCTACGCGGGCGTGGAAATGGTCACCGAGGACGATTCGCGATGGCCTCCAGGTGTGTTTAAGAAGACTTTTAATTCCGCAAAGTGTTTAGTGACATGCCACATGAGAAACTCAGGCGCTGCCACAGTCAATGCAATTCCACATACTACAATATCTAGAACACTTTGCAGCGCCAGTTAATCTAGCACCAAACTGAAGAGTCCATTTTGGCAATTGTGCACACAAAAGGTACCCGACAGATAGAAGAACCAGCATCCAGTAAATGGTAATTTTTTTCCAACAACAGCACGATGAACTATTCATGAAGACACGAATGTACAATAGTTTCTGACAACTATTTTTTACGCCTACTTTCCACATCCTTGTAAACAGAACTGCAATGAACTCACTTTGTTATTTAGGTACTTTAACTAAACATAATTTTTTTTAGATGCGGAGCATCTAATACTCGAGGCTTGTAGTGCGGCGCCGTCCGCAAGCTTCCTCCTCCTTCTTCCACCATCTGTGCATCCCTTCCTCCTCTACACACCGCGCGCGCTTCACTCCTCTACCATCTGTGCACCCTTCCTCCTCTACACACCGCGTGCGCTTCTCCTCTTCACGAACATTCGCTAGCTGTATAATGTAGCGCGCGTGCGCCGTCACGCTTCGAAAACATCGGCAGCTGACGCGCGCGCATGCGCCGTCGCGCTTCGAGAACATCGGCAGCTGACGCGCGCGCATGTGCCGTTGCGCTTCTCCCCCTTCTCGAACATTCGACAGCTGACAGTGCATGCGCCGTCGCGCTGTATATATACTCAAGGTCGGTGCTCGCTCGCTCAGTTGCCGCTCGTCGGTTGGTTTGTACTGCGCGTCGACGTCCGAGGTCGCAATGATCGACGTCCCTTCGACCAGCGCCGGCCAAAGTGTGGCGGAACCGCCACCAAGTCGTCGTACGAAGACAAGGCAGCGCGGAGAAGAGCTCGCGACGCGAAACGTAAACATCGGCGTCGAGCGGAAGATGCTCAACTTAGAGTACGTGAAGCCGCTGAGAGACGTCAGCGTCGAGCAGCAGCACCGGATTCGGCCGCTTTGAAACGTAAGCGTCGACAAGAGGACCCGGACTTTCGAAAACGGAAAGCCGGGTGCAAGCGTCGGCGACGAGAGGCCGATCCCGATGCTGCCCGCGAGCGCAAGCGCGCCGAGGTAGCGGCGTGGCGCGCCAAGCAGTATGCCCCGCCCAACGCTCGCTTCAAGCGCGACTTCCTCGACCGAAGCTTCGGCCACACCTGCAAGGTGTGTGATCGTCTTTGGTTCGATAACAACTTAACTCGGATCGGACAATTCAGAACAACTCCAAAGCGTTGTCGGTTCTTTGCGATACGTTTGGAAAGGGCACCGACTATGCCGACTACGTCGTGTGTGCTACGTGCAAGCAGTCGTTGATTGCCGGTCGAGTTCCCTCGGCTAGCGTGGGTTAAATAAACACCGCCCTTTCGCATACGTGTCGTACGTGTTCACTCATTTAACACCCCTCCTACAACCACGGTAACCAATTTAGCCAGCGACCCAAGTAAGTCGCAATTTAACACCCCATTTCACAACCTCGTTAACCAATTTAGCCATCGACCCAAGTAAGTCGCACTTTAACACCCCGTTAACCAATTATATGCTCCGCATCCTCCTCAGTGTTCCCCCGAGGGAAGCTGCGGGCAATTTCTTTTTCTTTTACGCGTACGGTAGGCCAGCAGTATACTGCTGTGAGCCAGAACGGCACTTGCGCAACATAAAAGAAGTCTTTGTTTCTCACAGCAGTACTTCTCAGGGTTGCGTTGCGTAAGCCACATAAGCTAGCTTTAGTGATACGAATAGATATATGGGCACTATATGTGAGTTTGTCACGGCAGTGTGGAAACTATAACACATTTGTAAAAAAAGCAGATTGAACAAAAAACGCATTATTCTGAGTAGACTAGGGGCTCCATGCAGGATCGGCCGAGTTTCGCAAAACTCGGGATATTCCCGAGATCCGGCGACGCCCCCTTACGAACGAGCCAACAGGACAAAAAAGTCAAATTTACCCCTCAGCACGCTGAATTTCATGGATTACGATGAAACCAGTCATCGCTTCGAAAACGCTCGACTAAGTTAGGCGGTGTTTTCAAACCAGAGGCATCTTTTTTCATTTAATTAATTGTCGTTTCACTGAGCGAAAATGTGCCCCCATGCAATAAAAAGGTCAGAAACTTCCTTTTTCTTTTAATTCTTTTTTGTATTTAATTGTTTGTCGTTTCACTGAGTGAAAATGCACCCATGCAATAAAAAGGCCAGAAACTTTCCGCGAAGATATATTTTAGAGGCACAGGTATTTAAATTTATTTTGAAGCTCTTATTGCTTCCATTAGGTCTGTTTTAGTATACTAAGCACGGTGGCCTCTGAGGTAGTCAAAATTTCCGGAGCTTCCACTACAGCGTCTCTCATGATCATAGGGTAGTTTTGGGACGTTAAACCCTACATGTCGATCATTCAAAGCAATCGAAGATTAGTACTGGCCGAACGTCTCACAACATCGCAACCGCTGCTGAATTCGAGGCCATGTGTCGGTCTGTACATTCTATCGAGGCCACGTATCAGCATAAACAGTCAAGCACTGCTCTGACAGAGCGCGTCGCCTTTGTTGTCATCATCTGCCAGCACCAGAGCACGTGCGGCCGTTTATTTAGCTATTTCACTGAACGGTTTACTTGGCAAGCTAGGACAGGAGATGCTATAACCAAGCTAATTACAACATGTTATGATAAGTCCCAGGTAATTACGCCACATCCTATGAACATTATGCTAATGAAGCCATGGAAAGCTATAACCATGCTAACTAATGCATGCTAGTTGATGAGCCAACTAAACTATGGTAGCTGACTCGACGTTAATCATGAGCATGGTAAATGAAACCTTGATAATTAGACCTTACTAATAATATGACAATTAGTATCTTGGTATATATGATTACGTTTAATATGTTCATACTGTGCAAGGCTAGAGCCTTCCTAATTGCGACTGAGATAATTGCATATTATTTGAACCCTTATCAATGAAGACAAGACAGCTCAGTGCAATGGTCATTAAGTCCCAGTCAATTAGTTGAATCAAACTTGACACAGCTCATGTGGTCTTCACTTCTAAGCCGATCATGCACATGAGTAGACGACCAACTTAAAATGCTACAAGAAGCTAGGCTGTCATAAGCTCCTCCATGACTCCAGCCTTGCAAAAGTAGTGTAAGGTCAGCAATTTATTTCATATGCTAAGAAGCTGCCGCATAGCGGTTGTCACTTCAAACGCTTGACAGTCACACCGGCACCATCACAGTCCCGAGTCGAACTCGGACTTTTGCAGTATCAACGAGTTTGTATCAGAGTTCACGCGTCAATCAGTTTGATTGAAAGATGCCCAGGGCGGAGTTCGGGTAAGCCCACCACGTTTGCTCTTGCCGAGGAACAGTACTGACGTCGAACGGCATGATTTATTTATCAGCTTTATCGCGCAACCTATGCACACGCGCACGCTACAGTAAAAGCGATATCACCACGTGGCTAAAATGTTTTGCATTCGATTTCACAGCGCGCGCTCACGACGTTTCCAATCACAGCCGCAATGGATGGATAGATGGAGGGATGGATAAGGCTGTACCCTTTAGATCGGGCGGTGACTAGCGCCACCAAGCCGTAATATTTAATGAACTTAAAACTATATTTATTTATTTTTTCCTTAAAAAGTGAGTTTGAGGATTCGTACTTTGCAGTGAAGAGTTTAATTTTCACTCGTGCCTTGACTTTAGCCATCAATCAAATAACGTCTTTCTAGTTAAGTCTACTTGCTTAAAGTCTATTTTGCCCTTCCGGTCCCTAAACCCCAGTGCTTTGAAAAACTCTGCGCCATCATCCTGAACTATAGGGTGACGCCCTTTACAGAACGTTATCAAGTGTTCGGCAGTTTCTTCTTCCTCTCCACACGCACTGCATACTGTGTCTACACCTATGTATTTGGCCCGATATGTCTTGGTTCGCAGTACTCCCGTCCTTGCCTCAAACAGTAGAGAACTACACCGAGTATTGTCATAGATCCTTTCCTTGGCAATTTCCTGCTTAAAAGTTCGATAGATCTCTAGTGCGGGCTTCTTAATCATGCCCATTTTTCACATGTCAGTCTCCGTTTCCTTCACTTTCTTCTTAACCGATAGTTCTTTTTGGTTTGGCCACCTGCTGTTTTCTAAGTATTTGCCAGTCAACTTCCTGGTTCGCTTCCTCCATTTTGTATCGTCATTCTTCATGTACAAGTAGCTGAAAACCTTCCTAGCCCAACGCTCCTCCTTCATTTCTCTCAATAGCTTCTCAAATTTTATCTTGCTGCTAGCTTCCCTGCCCTCAAATGACGTCCATTCCATATCACCTTGTACTCCCTGATTTGGTGTATTCCCGTGAGCTCCTAAAGCAAGCCTACCTATTCCACGTTGCTTAATTTCTAATCTTGCTTGAACTTCTGATCTCATGCACAAGACCGCATTGCCGAACGTCAGCCCAGGAACCATGACCCCTTTCCATATTCCTCTCACAACATCATACCTTTTGTAATTCCACAGTGCCCTATTTTTTATGACTGCTGCATTCCTGTTACCTTTAGTCGTCACGTATATTTCGTGTTCCCTCAGGTACTCAGTCCCATTGCTTATCCATACGCCCAGATATTTGTATTTATCTGTTATCTCAAGCGTGACCTCCTGTATCCTAAGCTCACTACCTTCGTTGTCATTGAAAATCATGACTGCTGATTTTTCCTTACTGCATCTAAAATCTAACCTATCTCCCTCATTACCGCAGATGTCCATCAATTTCTGCAAATCTTCCTTGTTGTTGGCCATTAGCACTATATCATCTGTGTATATTATTGCTTCTAGTGCCTGATCAATGAGTTTTCCTTGTTTGACTAAAGAGAGGTTGAAGCCCAGCCCACTTCCTTCTAACTTTGCCTCTAATCCTTGTAGATACTTCATGAATAATAAGGGTGACAGGGGGCAC